GGCACCACACAATGGTTAAGTACTTCACTTCCTTCAAGGTTGTTGTTAAGTGCTATAGAGTTGGTTCTAACCCATAGCGAACGTGTACAGAACAGCAACTTTGCGGTTCAAAACCACGTTGCAGTCCAGCGCATTAACCCACAGCGCCACACAAGGACTACGCTTTATTAAGTCGTAAATAGGACCAAGTCAAGCCTAGAAAATCCTTTGGGGCAGTTATATACTGTCACATGGGATCACTATGAATAGAAAATCGCCTGAATTCCAGAGCATCCAATAACAACATAAAACAGCACGAATGCATGTATGAAGTGCTGTCAGCCTTTCCCAACCTACTCTTAACTCAAAAGAGGCTGACCTAATCTATTAATGAAATTTTCTTCAGATATGAGGGTGATTTCTTTATCCACCTACCAGGATAAGCACACATCTGGGAATTATAACTTGAAAGAATTATATGTCTAACGCTGAAAAACACTGAGTTAACTGGGGTGTGAGATGTTGTTGTTAAATATCGTTGAGTTGGTTACAACTCATGGTAACTCTGTATAAGATTTCTGAGGCTATGAATCTTTGTGGGAGCCCAAAACCTCATTGTTCTCCTGTGGAGTGGCTGGTGGGCTTGAACCACTAACCTTGCTTATCCTTTAAAGGTCTGAGATAAGATCTCAAACCAGGTTGATAGTAAACAAGAAGCAAACTAAACAGCCCTGAGCATGTCTTGCTGATCAATTTTATTGCAAGGACTAAAGTACAGGCGTGTAAGAAAATGCCATGAAGAGATCTGGAAATGAAAATTACATGTTTGTTATTCAGAAGATAGAAGAGAGGGTCATTTGATGACCACCACTCTCTATTCTAAAGCACTTGATGTCAGAGAAGGCTTGTAGAGGGGAGTGTGAAGGTCAGGCCTACTGTCCTGGGAGGCAGGGCCAAGTCTTGTGATACCTGGTCAGCAGACAGTGTGTGTGCAATGGTCATAATGCGTGGTGGTATGTCCACTCTCCTGGTCAGATGTTTACCCATGGCTATTTTTGGGATACAGGCTCCAGAGCAGGTCCAGACATGTGGAGAATGTGGACTGGAGAAGAACAGCCTAGAGCAAAAACCTCCTTGGACCCTCTGGTTAGGGGTTAGAGCTTCTAGAGACCCAGTGGGAGATCATGTGGCTGAAAGGATAAAGGAATGTGAAGGTGGCTGTAGGGAGGGGGTAGAAGCTAGGGGATGGGAGAGAGAGTGACATGGGTCTGGCTAGAAATGCCTTAGACCCTAACCTGTGTCCTGTGGTTTTGAACCTGTACCCCTAGTCTTCTAGAGCAGTACTAATCAAAGTATGACCTTCTCCCCCACAACCAGCAGAATCGACATCACCTGGTAACTTATTAAAAAGGAACATTCTGGGGCCTACCCCAGAACTCTAGAGTTCCCAGTTCGCATTTCTAAGAAATTCCTTTGTGATGGTTGTGTTGCAGATGTAGCTTTGTGGAGCATAGTATACACAGGGTTACCATGAGTCAGAATCCACAGACAGCAACTGGCAGGTTTAATGGCTTTCAGAGCCACTCTTGTAGACCATGCCACAGGTAGTTGTGACCAGAGTTCTTGCTCACTACGAGGGCATGTACATCCTCTTTAATGGATCTTGTCCTCTGAAGAGTAAGCCATACCACTGATAGATATATGTACCTGTGGGTCTAAGACCTCTGGTTATGAGTCAGGTTGCTAATCTCAAGGTCAGCAGTTCCAAACTACCAGCCATTCCATGGGAGAATGATGAGGCTTATTGCTCCTGTAAAGATTTACAGCCTCAGAAACCCTGTACAAGTTCACTATAGGTCAGAACTGACTCCACAGCACATAACCACCACTACCACCAGGCCTAAGAAGTTTGGATCTATCCACATGCATGCAGATGAGATGACTTTGGTATGGAGCTGGAGAGGAAAGAGAAGGACGGAAGACGGAAGACACACAGGGTGCAGCTCCCACTCGCACTCTTGCCCTGGGCCCTGGCAAGGAAAAGAGTGGGTAATCTTGGCAGAAAGATCATCAGAGATGGAGAGGCCACCTTATTAGTTGAGATCCCTCTGACTGCCCTTGAGGGCTAGAGAAATGTGACTCTGATGTGCAGAGTAGTTATATATTAGCTAGAATTTAAAGAAAAGAGAAGAATCATAACACAAGCAATCTGACTTCTTCGTGTTACATCAGAGAGAAATAAATAAATCATTATCATTTTCATCGGCCTGCATGCTCTCTAGCTAGTGGCAGGCTAGTCCAAGAATTATGTAAGCAGAGATGTAAATGATTTCCGGAGGGAGCTCAGGTTTTTGTTTTTCTTCCAAAAACCGAAACCCCACAAATGCATCAGTTTCAATTTAGGAGGCCGACTCTGACTCCATGTGCTATAGATTGAAGTGTGTTCCATGGGGTGTTCTTGATTGGAATCTTTAAGGAAGCAGAACACCAGCCCTTTCTTTCATGGTGCCAGGAGGTGGGTTTGAATTTTCAACCTTTCGGTTAGCAGCCAGCACAAATCATTTGTGCCACCCAGGGGCCTTTAAGCCCTGCAAATGCAGTTTGTGCTGTATTCTTTCCTCCTCCATACCTAGCCACTCTTGGTCTTTAGGTTCCAATACCTAGACTACAGCAGAGAAGCAATGAATGGGACTATTGAGAATTGGGGTTTAAGAGCTTCAACTCTGGAATTAAATAGCCCAGGCAGGTATGAATTTAAGCCTACTTACTAGCTGTCTAACTTTGGGTAACTAACTTAATCTCTGCAAGCCTTGGTTTTCTCATCTGTAAAATGGGAGCTCTGGTAGCATAGTGGTTACGAATCTCTGTGAACCTCAAGGTCAGCAATTCGAAACTACCAGCTGCTCCGCGGGAGAAAGATGAGGCGTTCTGCTCCCGTAGAGATTTACAGCCTCGGAAACCCTGTACAGGGTCACTATGAGTCGGAACCGACTCCATGGCACATAACAACAACAAAAATGGGAACAGTATGAGCACCTAAATCCAGTACTGAGCATGTGCATAAAGTAAGGATTAAAACTATGTTAGCTACTGTAGATATTTAGCAAGTGCTGCAAGTGCCTTAGGTTTGTCCTCATCACAATACTAGTCTGGGGAGACAGAAATTCCAAAGGCTGGAAAGCGAAGCTGAAGGCCATAGTCCTGAGACCTGTGCTATGACTGAGGGTTCCTTAAAAGGGGTAGAACATGTGCTGAATTCTCACTGTTTTTAATGTGACCCTGGTTAGTTTGAAGGGCTTGGCTTCTATAAATCAACTGCCTCCAGCAGCCTTTCCCTTTTCACCTTTAACCCTTCCCACAGCTCCTTCTCAGGTTGGGGCTTGTGAGTTACAGTGAGGCAGCCAACCCTGTGGGCAGCCCAGAGGGGATGGAGTGGGGTTGAGGCTTCATTCAGATCCAGTGGCCTGAGGACTGCATCTGGACAAGCAGCAAGGGTTGGACCCAAGACCCAGTGACACTTTTATTATTGAAATCAGCCCAAACTTTACTAGCTTCTGGGGAAAACTGGGGGCTTTGGGGATTTTTGTATTTGCTGGGTTGTAAATATTTTACGGGAAAGCAGCCCAGGGAAAATCTGGTTAGCTTTCCGCCTTGCACATTCAAGTGGGGTTGGCTTCATGAACAAATGTATCAAAGAATGAGTCCGATTTTGCTTTGGTCTCAAAGAAGAATCCATGTTGGAATTGAAAAAATCTGCTACTCTCTTTGCCATGTGCCTCAAATTTCTTCTTTCTTCACTTGTAACCAAACATTTTATCTACAAGATTAATTGCATAGAAAGAGGATTTCAGATTGGGTCTGGGGAGGGGAGCGGGATATGTCATTGCTGGTTTGTGTCTGTGTGTCTGTGTGTCTATGACTGAACTGTTCTGCTACCAGGTGTCTGTTTCTCATACACTAAAAGAGCTTCTCAATGGGGAGATAACTGGTGTGTTCCATGGACATCTGCAAACCTCCTTGCTGTTTTGTTTAGTGTTAAATGGTTGGTAAATTTTAAAAAAGAAAGAAAGAGAGAGAGAGAGAGAACAAACACGTGGTAGCCCTCATTCTACCTGCTTTGTGTTCAGGACAAATGCCCCAGCAAAATAGTAGTGGGTCTAAACTAGAACTGCACCTTGAAATCATCTTGGAGCCTAAAGGAGGGTAGGAAGCCAACAAAAAGTCGAACGCTAAAAAGCCCTGTCTTCAAGTATCAATTCAATTGGTCTGGGACGTTGGTATTTTTAAATTCCCGGGAGGGTTCCACAATGAAGCTAGGATTGGGCATCGCTGCTCCCAAAGTTTCTCCCATATTCAGCAGCATAGCTGTAGGCCCGCACAGCCCTGGATTAGCAAGATGGATCTGGACATCCTTCTAACGGGGTTGGTGGGAGTGGGATGTTGCTCGGAAAGACAGACCACTAAGGAGACACATAGAAATGAGATACTTGTAGATAAAGCCAAGTGCTGGGAAGATAATAAACCAGGGTCTTGTGATAGTGATGAGCTACTTCAGATCAGGGGGTCCGGGATGGCCTTGCAGAAGAGGTGACATTTGAACAAGACGTGAAGGATGAGGAGTCAGCTGAGAAGTGGTCTGGGGGAAGTGCGGCCCAAGCTCATGATCACAAAGGTCACATTAATGGTTTACGCAGCCTCCTGGAAGAAACTCAGGAGGCCTACACCGAAGCCGAAGTCGCTTCTCCAACAACCAGGAACTTCACCCTGGGCGGCCAGACCCGAGGAAGAGGAAGAGGAGAAAGTAGAGGGGGAGGAGGGAACAGGCCTTGGTGTGCCCCGTCCCTGAGCCTCAGGCCAGGCGGGTGGGGAGACTGGGGGTGGTCAGGCCGAGGGCCGCCTGGACTGACCTTCCTGGCCGGCCTGCTCTGCTCCCCGCCCTTTCTCTCCTGGGGCCTGCCGCTGAGGACTGGGCTGATTTCCCCCTTAAGTGAAACTGACTGTAATTATTTTTTATCTCGCAGACGATCTCTCGCACACTCCTCTCCGGAGACAGAAGTATTTGTTTGATGTGTCCACGCTCTCAGACAAAGAAGAACTTGTGGGCGCAGAGCTGCGGCTCTTTCGCCAGGTTCCCCAAATTCCCTGGGGGCAGCCGTCAGGGCCGCTACATGTGCAGCTCTTCCTTTGCCGCTCGCCCCTCTTGCTGGACGTGAGGACCCTGGACCTACAGGGGGAGCCCAGGGACAGCTGGGAAGTCTTCGACGTGTGGCAGAGCCTGCGCCACCAGCCCTGGAAGCAGCTGTGCTTTGAGCTGCGAGTCATGTCGGGCCAACCCGATGGAGTGGAGGCGGAGGCGCGAGCACAGGACCCCCAGGAGCCGCGGGTCCTGGACCTACGAAACCTGGGCTTCAACCGAAGAGTGCGGCGTTCCCAGGAGAGCGCCCTGCTCGTGGTGTTCTCCAAATCCCAGCACAAGAACCTGTTTGTGGAGATGAGAGAGCAGCTGGGTTCAGCCCCTGTTGTGGGCCAAAGCCTAAGCTCTGAGTTGTCATGGCCGCGGCTGTCGTCTGGCGCCCCAGAGATCGGGTCTTGGCTGCCCTCGCCCGGCCGCCGGTGGCGGCGCACAGTCTTTGCCAGTCGCCACGGCAAGCGGCACGGCAAGAAGTCGAAGCTACGCTGCAGCAAGAAGCCCCTGCACGTGAACTTCAAGGAGCTGGGCTGGGACGACTGGATTATCGCGCCCCTGGAGTATGAGGCATACCACTGTGAGGGCGTGTGCGACTTCCCGCTGCGCTCACACCTGGAGCCCACCAACCACGCCATCATCCAGACGCTGATGAACTCCATGGACCCCGAGTCTACCCCGCCCAGCTGCTGCGTGCCCACCAAATTGACTCCCATTAGCATCCTATACATCGACGCGGGCAACAACGTGGTCTACAAGCAATATGAGGATATGGTGGTGGAGTCCTGCGGCTGCAGGTAGCGTCGCCTTTCCCACGGCTAAGGCCAGCAGCTGCGGAAGCCTGACTCCGGAGAAAGGCCAAAGAGAAGCTGGTTTTAAAGGAAGCTGGGGATGTGTGAGGGGGATGGGAGAGGAGGGAGCCTAGTTCAGCCCTCTCAGAACCTTACACCTGCCAGCCCAGAAGGATCTATGGATTTTGACACTTTGCCTGGACACCCTGGAAAAACAACCCAAGGACCTTTCTTTCTTTTTCTCTTCATGATTGTGGCTTTGGATTTCCTTGTGTATTTCACAGGTTTTGTTTGATAGGAGGTGGGAGAAGGGAAAACATTACAAATACCTATTTTTCAACTGCTCCATGGATTAAAGAATAATTTAAAGAGGGAAACCGTGTGAGAGGAAGAATCACCTCAGACCACATCTTGATTTGGTTGTTTTCTATCTGTATGAAGAAGATGCTGTCTCTCTGGCCATGTCTGTTGGCCCCCCAAGCAGAAATACTTAAGGGCATTGAAAACGGAATAAGAAAGCTAG